GAGCTGAACACTAATATATATATATATATATATATACATGTGATGGTGATTTCTGTTAAGAACATGTATGTTTTAGTTTCAGAGATTTACAAAGTAGCAAAGCCAACACAGGATGAAGCAATTGAGGTTGACATGGATGGTAAATTTAAGAGATTATGTACTTGGGGATTTTATTACATTCAGAGAAAATCTCAAAATAAGTATCACAGTTAATCTGAGTCTTAATTTGTGAGAGAAACCCTAATACCTGTAAATGTGTGTGTGCGTTTACACAAGTGTGCATGTGTGTTTATGTATATGTGTGTGTACACACACGTACATGTGTGTGGGTGTGTGCATTTGAGTATATGTGTTATGTGTCACTTTTAGCTCGAGTTTCCCAGAGTTTTCTTCATTTGTCCTGAATGAAGGCTTTCCACAAGCTAGGATTGAGTGAAGATCGTGGAATATTGGAATATAAGGTGTAGGACTCCACTCTTTCTATTCCTTTACACAGGCATAAATGGGAAAAAAAAGAACCATCTGCTTTTTATAAAAGTATACCAAAATATATTTGTACTCTCATAGCAAGTGATAACTTCAGGGAAGCATGTCTCAAGCACTAATTATATCAAGTACTATGACTGTTTAAATTATTGGGTTAATAGACAGGATGGAGAGCTATTGACATTGGGGAAGATTGTCTGGGTGTGTAAGGGAGATAAAAATTGAAAAGCTTGGCAGTCAGTGCTGTTTCGTACCTTTAATCCTAGAACTCAGGGAACAGAAGAAGGTAGATCTCTGTGAGTTTGAGGCCAGCCTGGTCTACAGAGCAAATTCCAGGATGCCCAAGACTACACAAAGAAACCCTATCCCAAAAAACAAAACAACGACAAAAATATTTTAGAGCTTAAGATAACTCCTGAGATCCTTAGAAGTATGCTCTCTAAACCAAATTGAATTTCCACACAAATAGTTATCAAAAGTTCATTAAAAGTTCTTTAGTTTGAAGGAGTGCCAATATTTTTTTCAGCGGAGTTTAATTTTACTAAAAGTATTCACCAACATGCAAAGCTTCACAAACTATTTGTACATAGTGTTTTTAAAATGCCAGTATTTTATTTGCACATAATGTTAGTATGGGATGAAGAATTTAATAGTTAATAGTTTATACTACATAATTTTACACTCAAATAAAATAATCCCACCCTATTTTATATGTTATTTCTTTTCTCATTTTTTAAGAGAATTTGTTAAAAATGATGCCCAACTGACTATTTACTTATATATTTGTTTTTTTGTGACAAATCCAATTGAAACGACTTTATTTTAGAGGGTACTATTTTAACTATTCCTTTCTTCTAAAAAGACACTTGTTACTACAATATAAATAAGTTTTATTGTTTAAATAAAGCTATATATTCACTTGAAACAAAATTGTGAGAAATCTACAAAGGTATAAATATCAATTATTTCATTTAGAAGCACAGATTGGAAGAAACTTAGTTCAGAACCAAATGGAATTTGCAAATTCATCAGTAAGGTGAAATAAAATTATCCTTACCAATAAAAATAAGTGTTAATTATGGTTTTGAAGACACACAAATGAAAAGTACTCATAATATTCTACTGTTGATAACCCCAGATAGATAGATAGATAGATAGATAGATAGATAGATAGATAGATATAGATAGAGATATGCTATTATAAGATTAATCTTCCCCAAAATTAAGGGTTTTTTTTTTCACTTGATGAAAAATTTGGGCCATCTAGTCTCCTGGATGTAACAAATAAATGAAACAAGTCATTTTATTTAACAGGTGTTTAAGAATAGCATGTTTTATTTTAAAGTTACTATATTTGTGCATATATATATATATATATATATATATATATATATATTAACATCTGTGTTTCGGTAGGTTGTGAAAGTGGACAAGGGGAGGAAAAGGGAAGAGAAGATCTTGAGGGAGATTGAGGAGGTGACAGTAGAAGCCATGTGACATGACAACAAGATGAGCCCTTAAAGGCAGGAAAGCAACCAGGCAGGCCAGGGAAGTGGAGACAGGGAAGTGGAGTTCAATAATATGAATGAAGCAAAATGATGTATCTTGGAAAATGTCATAATGTAAACCATTATTTGCTAACTCAAAACCCTAGTAAAAACACCTAACTCTGTAAAGGTAACTTGAATAATTTTATTTTTAATTAACATTGATAAGCTATACTATATGTTTTTCAGGCCTATTCTGTATACTTTGGAATATGTACATTCATAATTTGATATATAATTAAAAGCAGACATGAGTATAAATTTATGATCTATTTTTACCCTTCATGTTTATTTACCTTTTTAAAATTTTTTGAGATTATGATTTCAACATTTCTCCTTTCCTTTTACTCCCTCCATGCCCTCCAATATGTTTCTCCTTGTTCTCTTTCAAATTCACATCTTCTCTTTTCATTGTTATTGCATACATATATGTATATGAATATATATGTATATTTCTAAATACAACATGCTCAGTCTCTATGGTGTTACTTGTATGTATATTTTCAGGGCTGACCATTTGCTATTGGATAGTTGGTGCCTTCTTCCATGGGGAAGACTATTTCTCCCTCTTGCAGCATTCCCTAGTTGCCTGTGGTTGGTTCCATGAGTGAGGTTGAGGCCTTTCATATTTTAGAGGATAAAGCAACTTTAACATGAGTAATGTTACCTCAAGTTTCACATAAGTTCTTTTGACACTATTTAAAATTATATTTCTATATTACTTTTCCATTGCTGATTTTATAATACACACATTTTTAAAGTATGATGACTTGGTGTGGCAGTGCACGTGTGTACCATGGAACACATAGAGATCAGAAAACAATACCCAGAAGTGTGTTCTAGTGTTATAATTTTATTTATAGAACATATGTACTAAGTAGCCATATCTTGGAAACTTTTAAATATTTACCTACTTTTAATATGTTTATTGTAACTCGTCTAAGTCATTGCACAAAACTGTTGGGTGTTTTTGTTTTTGTACAAAATTTTAGAAATTACCTAAATTCCTCTGTGATGGTCTGTATATGCTCAGGCCAGAGAGTGGCACTATTAGAAGGTGTGGGCCTGTTGGAGTAGGTGTGTCACTGTGGTGGGCTTTAAGACCCTCATCCTAATTGCCTGGAAGTCAGTATTTTGCTAGCAGCTTCCAGAAGAAGATATAGAACCCTCAGCTCCTCCTGCATCATGCCTGCCCGGATGCTCCTGCCTTGATGATAATGGACTAAACCTCTTAACCTGTAAACCAGCCCCAATTAAATGTTCTTTTTAAGAGTTGCTTGGTCATTATGTCTGTTCACAACAATAAAACTCTAACTAAGACACCCTCTGAATATTTTTAAATCTGACTTTTATAGATTCGACTGCAACAAAAACAATGGTTTCTGGTTACATCCTTCTCTTTGGGGTTTGGTTCTGTATGGTTCTAAACACTTGAAAATTCTGTACCCCTCCATGGCAGTTGTATAAAAACTGCAAGGGAAAAAAAGGCTTTAGTTTGAGTTTCAGGAAAGTCAAAAACAGCAGTTGCCTATAGAATGAGTCTAGAAGTAAAATATGTAACCCCACTGTCAGCAAAGACGTAGTAGAAGAGAGTTTATAATAGATACTCACATCTGCTGTTTTGGACACTCTAATCCATCCTAAGGATGTTTGCTGTGTCAGGCTTCGTTTTAGACAAAGAAGCTAACTTTTATAAAGGTTTGAGAATAGACCATATTTATCATGGTTAACTTTACTTGCAAAACACCTCTCTGTTTCATAGGAAGTATGACTATTCAGGAACAGTATGTAATGAAATACTTCACCATGCTTTTCATGGTGAATTTTTACTGTGCAATAGACAAATTCCCTTTCAAGATGTGTCACCTGCTCAAACTCTGTTCAGAAGGCATGGCTGATACAATGTCATCTGAACACAGTGGAGATGTGATGGCTACAACTAGATTTGGAATGTTTGTGCTTGAATATCAGCTTCTTCCATACATGGTAAATGCTCACTTAGTATTCCCAAGCCTCTTTCTTCTCTACAGTAGAATTACTGCTCTTTATTCTACTATTGTGTCCTTCTAAGAATTGTACGGTAGGTACTCAATGTGGTATCAGATGCTAAAACAGTTTAATAAGTTTTAAACACTTTTGTTGGGATGATAATACATCAATAAGCATGATTAGACAACCCAATGTTTAATTTAATATTTATGTTCTAAGCTCAGGTGAGCATATTCTATTAATTCTACTTGCCTCCAAATGCCAGGATAGTTTCTTGCTGGAATTTATCAATAAAGTTGTTAATCAAAATTATGTTATTTTAATTTTTTGATACTTACTAAAAATGTTTTTAAAATTATGAAAATTCCCCACACCAAATTTGGATTATTTTAATTTGCAAGATTTCAGAAATTTAAGTTAATGGTCATATAATTTTGAGGTAGAAGTACTTAGTTTTTCATTCCAACTCCAAAGAAAATGTGATGAATTCATAAATATCTCAACAGTTACAGATTTATATAATGATTTAGCAGAAATATAATAAATATATTTAAAGCGGGTAAATACATTTTACATTTTCTAGGATAAATAGCTATAGATATATCTACTTGAAGCACATGTTCTATTGTCCATTTAGATAACTATTACTTTAAATTATTTTAATGTATTCATTTACAAAATAAAGTTGTCTTCCTCAGTTGTTCTCAATCTCATCTCAAAATGATCTGTCAATCACAAATATAATAAGAGTGTTGGGGCAAATAATGGCCTCAGAATATTAAGCAAATAGAGCTACAGGCCTTTATCCTAAATGTATCTTATGGCTCATATTATTTTTATAGATAGAAGTTAATTCACATTTAATGAGAGCCTAATATAAAAATGAGTCTCTTGAATCGCAACCAATACAAGATAAAATGTTGCATTGTTTATATACTGTGACTGCTTGAGATAAATCTCTATTTCCCTCTTTTCCAGGTCGAGTTTTAGCTCAGGCGAGTGCCAACGGGATTATCCATTTGCTGGATCTTAAATCTGGGCAAATTCACAAACTGGTGGGCCATGAGAGTGAAGTGCACAGTGTGGTATTTTCCCACCTCGGGGAGAATCTGTATTCTGGAGGTTCTGACGGCACCATTCGGTTGTGGCTCTGACCAGCAATAGCATAACCTGATGCAAAGGGCATTCCCTCTAATGCTTAAAAATACTTCATATAGTCTGCTCACAAGCCAGCAAGTAACTGGTTAAAACAACCAATAAATAAAATATTTGTTTTAAAACAAGCTTTGGGAAAATACTATATGGCCCATACTATTACAAATAAAAATTATAACTTTTTGCTCATTTATCTGTCTGTGGTTTTTTTTTCACCCAGAATCTTTCACTTTCTCATTTGGTTATGAATTTAGAGACAGGGCATCCTTGCTAGGAGGTTGGAAGAAACAGCTTTACAATGACGCCTAATGACAGACTAGATGAATTACAAGACATTGATTTTTAACGTTGGAGAACAAACTGCGGGAAAACGCAGCTACTTTTTTTTTTTTTTAAATCAAACCCGAGCTGCAGGAGACCCAAAGTTGAATTATGTATAGCACAAGGAAAATCTTGCTATAACCAGAGGGTCAAATAGAGTCAGAAAGCATACATTTTCACAGATTCTTTGACAATGAGTGTGCTTTATCTATTAGTAATAACCAACGACTGCAGATGGCTTAAATCTAAAGACAAGTCCCCGGAACTTTCATCTCTGCAGCCCATGCAAAAATGCATTAGGTAAAATTACATCGTTCTAATTTTTTTATTGTGATTTAAATGCAAATAAGTGTCTTGCATGCAGTAGCTCTCCCCCTCCCCACACACACACACCCCAAGCTCTCTCGCATCAGCTGTATCAAGTGACTGCCTTAGACAACACTACAGCCTGGTCCGCGGAAGCAGCTTGGGGTTTCGACCAAGCTGGGCTCAGAAGCCAGTTGTTGGCGCTGTCCGTGGTGCTGAGGAATTCCCGGCTGCCGGCAGGATGAGCTCCGAATCAGCAGTCTGCAAACTGCTCCCAGCGATGCCAAACCCCAGTTAAAGTTGCGCCTTTGCTTCACATCCACACTTAGAATCTTCTGGTGTGTGAGGAGGGATTCAGTCAACATACTGTGGACGATGCTGATGCTTCTGCCGGTGGAGTGGGCTTTAAGCTTCAGTATGCTGTTTCTGTTTGTGATCCTCAGAGCCTAGCCAAGTCACCTCTACTGCCGTAGCAAACACTGTGTAAGTGAACTCATGTGTGGAGGAGGTGTAATCAGCCAGGAAATTTCATAGAAGGATCTAAGAAAATGCTAAAAATAAGTTCAACAAGATTCTGCTACTGGGGTCCGGATTTCCACAGGACGAGCATTGCTTCTTGCTTTGAATTCTGAAGACAGGTCCAAAGCATATTTCTTATGTGTGTCTGCTGTGTTTCTCTCTGGAAGGGTGGGAGACTGCTTCTTGGCTGTGTTTTGAAATGGGAAATAGAGAGGATGGATTGCCTTTAATTCATGCCTGAAAATGCATTCTTTGGGTGACTAAAGAGGACTGGCTTACCTAAGAGATACCTGACCTTTAAGTTCAGATTGGTCTGTGACCCCCAGCACCACCATTAACCTCAGAGTGACTAGGTAAGTACGTCTTATGACATGAGTTGTGTTTGCTTTCTCAGAGAAATAGATGCAGTCATTTTAAATCATATGTAGCCATACAGGGAGGGGGTAAAGTTTAGCTGGGAAGTGATCCAGTTTAGCAGTGTTTGCATCCTTATTTAAAATCTTCAGATAATGGTGTTGTTGTATTTCCCTAACCTTCCTATTTTTAAATAGTATATTAAATGGTACTACAGAATATTTATTATAATGAAGGCTCTTTTAAAAATAGCCTAAAAACTTTGTTTTATAAAACAGACACATATTCCTCATAATAAAAACATCCCTAATGTTAATATGAAGCAAAAACCCCACCCCTATCTCTATCTTTCAGTTTACGTTTACTATAACCTTGCACATCAATGCCTACCTGTGGCTTACAAAATGACCCTTTTCTGTCTGGGTCTTTTAAAGCAGAACCCTGTGTGTATTTCACATGGCTTTCCTTGCATGTATTGATAGCCGCCGCTGGACATTTGTGAAGAGGCACGGTAGCTTCCTTGTCTTGCAAGATAAACTTTCTATATATGTGAGAAGTGCATAGATGGATGCTTTAATTAGTAAAACATATATATGCCTTTCCAGAAGCCTCTACTATGTTTGTGGCCTCTGTAGTAATTTAGAAGTATAAAAATGCTTTGTCAAAGGGAGCTTCCAGCTTCTCAAGTAGAATTGTAGGTTTGCATTTTCTTGTTCTGTCATGACTCATTATTTTTGACATATTTTAAGAGAAATCTATCTCCTTTATCATTACCCCAAAGGAATTCACCCAAAAGGAATTCTAATATCAGAGAATATTGTAGGAATACTAATATCAACCTTGTCTGAAAAGAGAACGTGAATGCATTGCCTTCCATTTTACTATTACTCTAATTTGCATATTAACTTAAGATGCAAATGTATTCTAAGAATTTATGAAGTTTCCTAATATCATCTTCATCATATTTAATTGCCATAGTTGTACTCTAGCCTGAAAAAAAGCAGTTTTTTACTGTTTTTAGTATACTTTGGAAATAAAACATTGAATGAAACTTAGACATCTTAAAATGCTCTACACACAATCTTAGTGATACTGGCAGAAAGCCAATATCATTTAAATGTTGAACTAAATATTTTACAACAGTCTTCCTTATCTGTTCTTCCCCAAAATTATAGTTTCCCCCAGAACCTTTACATAAGTTAGCTATTCTAAATATTCAAAGGAAACCACATTACCAACATTTACTACCAAATACTAACACTGAGGAAGCTTATAACAGTAATTGCTACCCAGATAATAAGGCATATAGTCTGTGAATGTTGATGCTTCACTATTGTTTTAAGAAACTTCTCAGAAAGTTTTTTTCCTAGTATCTTTCTCTAATTTAACTGAATGCAAACATTTTATCATTTCAAATGAGTTATATTTTCAGTAACATGTGAATGTTATTCATATTTTATGAAAGGAATCAACTTCAAATAATATTGCATGATTATCTTCATGGCTATAAAAAGTTGTAGATATCTCTTTCCTGCCCACTAGGAGCTTACTTCCTGAATAAAAATAATGGTGTTTACAATAGTAGAAATGACTATCTTTAATAAGACCATATCAATAAATTAATTTTTGTATCATTAGATATATTTCTCTTATTCATCATGATTTCTTATGCTATTTTTATATCCAGTGTGTTCCACAATCCAGAATATGGGCATGAGAAAGAAAGCTTTTGTACTGGATCCATCTCATTTAAACTTGCATCCAACTGCTTTTTTAAAAATTTCTTTGCTTTTAGAATTTAATGCTTGACCCTAATCTCTTGCTTTTATTCAGATTACTACAACATCTACATTCTATTACTGACTCATCCAGTTCAAAGAAAACCAGGAATGTAATTTCAAATATCCTTGAACTATATGTCAGTAACTACTTGCAATCATCCTTTAAGGCTCAGTAAAACCACATCTTACAATGTACAAAGAGCCGGACCATTGAAACTCAGAGGAAACTTACAACCTGAAGGCCCCTAAGTAAAATAACTCCATAAATGAACTTTCTTGAAACATATATTGCCAATGTCCACTATTCAAACTTTACAATAAACTATAGACAGTTGGATGAACTTAGTTTCTTTGAAGTCTCAGTGTCTCCCAGATTGAATCCATACAAATGATTTAAAGGCATGGGCTTAACTGCATCTTTATCCTCTCTTATATGTCAAATTATCTTTTAAATATTTATTTTCAGCCCACCCCTCTTGCATTCCCATGGAAGGAGCTGAGTGTGTTTAATATTAGGAGAACATCCAGAAGTCTGTGAGGAGGGGGATGGCTCTTCATATTCATGAAGCTTGCATACTTCTATTGGTCATCCCTGGATTGGTCACCTCTGCTGCCATCAGTCACGAAGACTATCCTGCTGATGAAGGTGACCAGGCTTCCAGTAATGACAATCTGATCTTTGATGACTATCGAGGGAAAGGGTGTGTGGATGACAGCGGCTTTGTGTACAAGTTGGGAGAGCGGTTTTTCCCGGGGCATTCCAACTGTCCGTGTGTCTGTGCCCTAGATGGACCTGTCTGTGACCAGCCGGAATGCCCTAAAATTCATCCGAAATGTACAAAGGTGGAACACAATGGATGCTGTCCCGAATGTAAAGAAGTGAAAAACTTTTGTGAATATCATGGGAAAAATTACAAAATCTTGGAGGAATTTAAGGTATGAGTTACCCTCCATATTTATTGAATTCTAATTTTTATTATAACATACTTAGCAGATTATATGACAAGCAAATCTAGAAAGCATACAGTTACATGACTCTATGCAGACAAGTAGCACGATGGTTGACAGAAAATTCTGTTGGTTCATCGGTCAATATTTCACAGTAATTTTTTTCAGAAATGTTTAATATCTTCTCATTTTTAACACTCAGAAACATTCTTTCTGTGTTTTTACAAAATATGTTTTTGAAAAGTGATGGTTTGGAAGATACAATCTGTTAAATTAATTTTCATTTTGTTAGTTTTATGTTTATTTAGTTTTATTTTGTTAACTTATTAGTCTGTATTTGTGGCCATGTACCAATGGCCTTGACTTATTTGTTTACTGTGAAGACAAGTACATGCTACAGAAAAATACTCAGAGCTGTGATCTCTACATCAAGAAAATACATTGGGCCTACTTGTTATAGAACAGGGTTCCACTCTCTGCTCATCAGATGTTTTACTCACAGTACTTCAAAGAGAACTGAATTTTTATCATGGCCTTCAAATAAGAGAAGTAAACTTTTCAGTTACATGCCACTTAGTTTTACTTTTATCCTTCATGTCTCATTTTCAAATAACATGGAGTTTATTTTTATTTCTTCTGGAGTTCTCTTTTATATGATGACTAATTTTAATTAGAATGTCCTGGAAGCCATATGAGTCCTGGGAGCATGAATTAATGTATCAAGAATATCTTACTTAATTGTAATGACAGTTTGTGTCTTGGAATATCTTTCATGCTGAAAGCTTAGTATGAGAGGGTCTCATTTTATCAAAGTTCTATGACACAACATTTATAGCATTACAGGTAAAAAACAGTTAAGGCTGGTTCTAAGTGCTTGTTTAAATTTGAAAAAGAATGTTCATGTTTTAGACCTGAACTAACCACTCTTTCTACAAAGTAAAATGGTGGCAGGAAACAGCA